CATTCCATTTGGCGATCTCCGCGGCGCTCTTGGACTCTTGCTGCCGTAGTTTTTCCTTCAGTTCTTCTACCGTCCTGTTGACTGTGACAGTCTCAAGCTTCTCCAAATCCACCAACCGACCAAACTTCAGCATTAACATGTTACGGACTTTCTCTTCCAAGTCGCCAATCTGCAAGGAAATCATTTAAGGCGTTATCAGCTTGTGATGCTACTTTACACAATGTGGCCAATAAACCTTGACGAAATTAGTACACTAACCTTAAGCCATAAATCCTTGTTTACAAATACAGTGGAAGCCCGCCCGGCCGCCTTGTTAGTAAGGCCACTTTATTTTGGTCCGAACAAAAGCTCGGTCAGTCATTTTCTAATTTAAAGAACCCCTTTAATTAATACGGCCAGATTTTTGTGGCCCGTTGGTGACCGGATTAACGGGATTCCACTGTACGCTGCTTTTGTTCGATAACTATTTAGTCTCCTGTCCTAGAATCTGACGCCACGTCATTAACTGTGGCTCTCCAACAGGTTTCAAAAATAGGGTCACTGTTTGACCCAAGTCAGGGGCAGTGCTGGGATTCCAGCGGTTTATTAAATACAGAGATAATCACAGAATTCTTACCCTCGTTTCCTGGACTTTCTTGTCCCGGATGAGCTGCACGTGAGTTTGGCGATGTTCCCTGGAAAGCAACGATACTTCCGTTAACAAAGTTTCTCGCGCATCTCTTATTATTATTATTTATTATTATTATTTATGACATTTTGGCAAGGTATAGCACGGTTTAAATATTGCTTTTATTACTACTCCAAACCCACTTCTGCTCGTAACACACTCAAACTAATCTCGGGCAAAAATGTAACGCCTGGGCAACTGGCATTACATTGGATTCCACGATATCGACGGCTCTGGACGGAACAGCCGCCATCTTGGATTTGAACAGCACAGAAGGGAGGCAGTGTGGCCGAGTGGTTAGGGCGCCGGATTTGAAATCCGGAAGTCGGGGGTTCAAGTTCCGCTCTGACAACTAGGCTGGAGTTGTTTCTCGGTAGACCCTAGTTCAACTCCTCGGTCATGCTTGTAAATAGCCAACTGGTCTGTATTAAGCCAGTTGGGATTTTTTAAGCCTATCATGTTTACTTTCTCTCAGTTAAGAGGCATGCATGTGAACTAGCTAGGTTTAGCTAAGCGCATTGAGCGCGATAAACAACATTTGAACAGAAGAGTCAGGGGTCTTTCTAAACGCAATCACACAAATGACACTTAATGTATACCTGTAAAGTCGTTTTTGCTCTGCCTTCTCTTTCTCCAGTTCTTTAATTCTGTGTTGTAGTCGGACGAGCTCTGGACTGTTAAACACAAGACATTGTGACAGATCCTGTGGTAGAGCGCTGTTCAACATGTACTGAATCTGATGAAATCGCAACACAACTACTACGTCCAACTCGTTCAGCTTCTGTTGTTTTTCACGCTGAAAGGAAAAAAGGAAACGCTTTAGTCCGCTTATTTCCTAAAGTAAAGCGTGTGAACTCTTGGTAGTCAAGCGAAAAAAACTCATTAAAGGCGAAAGCTTTAAGGGTGTGTTCCTTTGGGATGAATCGGGATAGGATTTTCTGATAGTAACACAGGGACCCTGAGTGTACGCTCTTAAACCGGCGTCATTTTGGCGGGAAAAACGAAGTAGTCGTCACAATTCTAGTGAAGAGTTTTTGCCGATGTGCTCATACTTTAGAATCACGAGAAGATGTGTCTTACCTCGTCAATTATTTTGCTTACAAAGAGTACATATCTCATACTAGATCATAGTCGAGTCACACTTGGTTCTTATTTAAAGATGTCTTGTGTGTAGTTACCTGAAAAGCCTCCAAATCAGCTTCAGCTGTTTTCAGCGCGCTGTCGATGACCTTAGCTTTCTTGACTAGAGCGTCGTATTCCTTTTTCAGGGTCTCGCTCGTTTTCTTTTCCTCGGCTAGTTCTTCTTCCAAGTCTAAACGACGCTCGCGAAGCTGACACACCTTGAATGAGGGAAAAGAGAAGAACGTTTTATAACAGAGCTAAGAATAGGCTCGGCCCACTACCTCCCGGTGATAAGGATAAAAGTGACGAGGTAAGAATAGGCCGTAAAATACACTAAACATTTTAGATTGATTGTGGTTTGCCACAAAAGTGGAGTGAGAACAATTAAAGCAAAACTATTATCTAGAAAACAAGCACAACCACAAAACACCTTGTTGAGTCCCGGTTGCCAACCGGGACTCAACCGAGTGTTTTGTTGTCAGTTTTGAATTCAGTAATGATTTATAACTGGAGACTTGCTTCTCCTGTCCTTTTACGTTGTTAATCAGACTACAAACAAGCAAACAGAAGACAGGTATACAAGAGAAACTGGCACTTCTTGTCCTCGCAGAGGACTGTCTGCCTGATCGAACGTAGACTACACTTCAAGTAAAAAAGCAAATGTAAGGCGCGACTTTCGGGGATAAGGTCGGAGTGGTTCAGGAAGAACACGCAAGGAAATGCGCGCACTTTTACCACGCGCGCGATACAGCAAGTAGTCACGCTCTAAGGTGTCCACACGCGCGGCTCTAGTTTCATACCTGATCAAACAATGCCTGATCACATCCAGGTGGACACACGCTGTCGTCCAACTCCTCTGCATCAGAGTCCTCCTCATCACTTGAAGATAAATCCTCGTCGCTGTCCTCATCTTCGCTTTCCTCGTCCGAGCCTTCCTGGGCTTGAGTTTTCTTCTTCGCGCGTTTGATTTTCTTCTTGAACACGCGGGTCAAAAACGACTCAAACTTGTTATTCTCGCCGAGAGCTGCAGAGAACGAGGTGTAAAGCGCCTTCTCTTGCTCTTGAAGCTTTTCTATGTCTTGTTTCTTGGAGTCTAGTTTCATTTGACAATCTTCAACCTAAAACAGGAAAAGCGGCACAGTCAATACTGCAGCCTTAGCTGAATCATCCGTGTGCTTGCAACAGTTGCAGAGCACGAAAAAAAATACGACAAGGTACTCAGGAAGAGACGAAGGAGCTGAAACTTTAAGTCTAGGTTTTGGAAACTTCTGTTCCCGTAAAAGTGGGTGTTCACTTCATTTCGTCTTATACTGATGTGTTGGACAACTTGCATAGTATATTGGTGGTAATTTCGACTTGGTCGTCCTGGCCACGGTTTATAACACAAATGCCTACCCTGACTTTTAAATCTGAGCTAGAGACAAAGAAAGCTTCAACTGAACTCTCTCGTTGCAATTGGAAGACAGAAAAAAGACGTTTATTCCAATGGCGTCTAAGTCAATCTAAACCTGACACGGGACGTTCTCTAATTAGGTAGGGATAGGATCATAAGGGCATTGTGCCAATCAACTGCGCCACAATCTACTTTACGAACATTTTTAGCAGGTATTTCTCCTACCTTCTCCTGCATCTCGTCTTTCTCAGAAAGTTTTGTGTTGACTTTGTTGGCGAAGCTGTTCTCTCTTTTCTCAAATTCCTTCAGCAGCATGAACTCTTCAAACAGAGTAACTTGCCTGTCGACAGAAAATAAATATATCAAATATTCCAGTGGTAGTTATTCACAAACAGAACAGGGGTATATTTTACAGCAATAACTGATTTATCACATATTTTATTGACAATAAGAGTTGATAATACTTACTACTGGCCCAAGCCATTCATTAAAATCTGTTTACTGAGGCCCCGTCCGCAACTACGCCGAAGGAATTTTAAAAAAGCAGTTTATTTCTACGGTTCGGCCTACCGTTCACACTAATCCGTCACCAAAACGGAGCTTTCCGAAAACGCTCTTCAAACCGGAGGAATTTGAAAACGTCGGCTT